AAAAATATCTTAAAGTATGGTTTGCGTAGTATTCCAAGTATAAAAGTAAAGCAAATGCAGAGAGGACTCTGCATTTGATGAATGAAATGTTCAACTTAAGGCTTACTTGTAAAGATCTGTAAAACTGCATGACAGGGTGACATGAAGACTTTATTGAAAGTGAAGTTATTTCACCTAATAGCTTTAGGTATGTTACAGAATGTAAGAACTAGGTCTAAACCCACATATTCTGTCATTTTAACTTCCTTTGTATCAAGCATGTTAATAGCAAAATATTAAACTATTGAAGAAGGAAAATAGTTTCTATACCTTAGTCCGTATGTCTCCTAAGAGCTGTTAGCAGTAAATTATTGAAAAGAAACAGAAATTGAGAACAGGAAGGTAAGGCATAGCAGCATTGTGACTATTAAACTACCTGCCACTGGAAAACACTTAGTCTCACTGTAAAGTTTGTTCCTAGCAAGCTGTATCTGATTAGCATATCATGCATTGCCAAGAAGTGGTTTCCTAAGCTTCCATTTCCAAAGAAATACTACATATCACTTGCTGGGTAGTCACAAAGACTCCCCTGTCAAAATCCATGTGTCTTATGCAATTTGAGCATGAAGACTTCACACACACACTCAATTGCTATCCATGTATGAAACTTCCACTTGAAGTTCATTTTCCCATCATTTCAATATCTAAATGTTGTCATTGCAACAATTACTACAGCAGTGTCTTACAAAAAAATAATTACATCATGCAAAACCCCAAATCCCCTAAAAACAAAACACAACATGCCAAAGGCCAGAGTGAAACAACAAAAAAAACCCTCTTTATCCTAAAAGGAAAGCCACACACCTCTGCAAAATAATTCTGCCATGCAAATTTTGGAGTTCAAGCTAGTAGTTTAAAAAAAAATCGGTTTCATTACAAACTCACTCAAAGAACAGTAGTATAAGTGATCGTTTTCTCCTTAATTACCACTGTTGACTGCAGAGTAACTTAAAGGATATTGCAATCCAAACTAGTCAAAATATCACGTAACAAGCAAGCTTATTGTCAACAGAACACATACATGTAAGAGAATAAAGGAAGGGAAAAGTCACAAGGACATGAGCTTTTTTAAAAGGGTCATCAGAAGTAAAAAATAAATTTGTAAAGATACAGAATGAAACAAAATGCCAAGGACTGGGCTAAAGTGAAAGGTATAAACACCTGTAAAGATCACCGTATCGCTGCATTTCATGCATCTTATATTCAAACCAGATCTTAGCCAGGAGAACTGATATCCCTTTGGCTTGTGCAGTTTTACGACTGGCCTGGTATTTTTCATACCATAGAAATAGTAATATAAAAATAAAAAATATTCTGGATTGTATTACATCTGTCAGGACTCTAAATTCTGCCTGTTCAAAACACTGTTCTGAAGGGAGGCTTCAGCCTATGATAAAGCAAGAAGGCTGTTCTTAACCACATTTCCAGCTAAATGGAGCCGTTTGTACAGGACAACCTATACGTTTAGAGCATGGCAGGCAACCAGGCATGCAAATACTACCACAATAAAACAATGCTGTTCTTGACCCCTTCTTTCAGGTTCTAGCTACTTTATACAAACTAATTTTCCTCTAACATTTCTAGAAGCATCATGCTATTTTGGGTCCAGGTAATACAAACCTGTTTCTATGAACAAACTGTATTGCTGCAAGAAAGCAGAATTCAAGCTCCATGAGCAGTCCTTGGAAGCGTGAAGTTCCTCACCGATTTATATTCTTACTATGTACTTTCCCCAGCTAAATTTGAATATGCTAGGAAGCTGCTAGAAGTACTAAAAATACTCCTTGTGTAGCACCAGCATGGATAAAACCATAGTGCAGGCTTTCAAATTACGGCAAGAAACTTCATGTTCCGTGGACTGTTCTTCTGTTGTTCCCTATTCAAAATACAGATTGATTTCCAGTTTACTACTTAGTAGTCCCCATCAATTCTCCAGTCTTTCTGCAAGTTGACAATATCAGAAGGGGGAAAATACACCCAATGTCACCAAGATTAGGCAAGATTTCATAAATATCCTGATCTCTATGCCAGTGAAGGCACACAAATTTTGAATTAATGTGCCAAGAAGACAGTATTAACCAAAGAAATCAATAAATTGCCAGACTAAGAACGTGACAAAGTTCTCCATATTTTTTTCCTTTGAAATTCTGTTTCTTCTCTATCCAGTCATATCTAGCTACGACTTAATTTTTTAGTCTAATTTGTACGTTTTTTACTGATGTTCCAAATAATCTTTTTGTTAAAACAGAGTAATAATGAATTCCTTAAAGCATTCTGATAACTAGGTAACAGGTACTTACTTTTTTAGCAGGTATCGAATACTATTTGCATATCATAAAATATTTGTATCTGATTCATGGTGTCAGTATTTTACATTAATTGAAGATATCAGGTGGCTGAAGTAAATGTCAGAATAGGAAAACGTATCATGTGTTCAGTTTGGTTAATAGGGGCAGGGAGGTAGAGGAGCCAAACCCACCCTTTTAAAGAAGGGTAAAGGTTAAGGAGGAGAATGGCATAAGCAGTTTTCAACTCAATGTAACATTTAGAAAACAAGAGAACAAAAACTGAAGTCATGAAATGCTGCCTGCCAAGGCACCAGTTCCTCTCTTCAGCATCCATCTCCTGTTGTCAGACAGAACAACTTTAAACAGAACCCAGGCTTATGACAGGCAGAGTGTTTTAGCTGTCGTCATTCCTACCTCTGACAAGCCTTCAACCTATCCAGAAGTTTGTCTGGCTGTTGTGGGAAACTGCTAGTTTGTGCTACCTGCTCAAGTGGCTCCTTGGGCCACTCCAACACTACTCCTGGTTTGCCACGGAAAAATGTCCATTTCTCTAAAGTTAAGGCTTTTGTAGGAAACAAAAATCCCAATAATTTGCTGCTCTAGCAATTCCATTTCTCTTTTTTCCTCACCTAGAAAGCCAGTACAGTAACAAATGACAAGCCCTCTTGCATTCTTTAATCTGTAGGTACCAAACACTTTAAGCCTGTATCCCACACAAGATAAGCGCAAGATTCTTACCAAAGCATCTGCCACTGCCTCTTCCACATCAGAACCTGTGTTCAGAACCCGCATGGCGCTAACTGACGACGACAATCTACTCGACTGACTAATTCCGAAGCCAGTACCTGCTGTAGCAACAAAAATTAATACAAAGAATTCAGTCAGAAGCAATGTGGGACATCAACACCACACTCATTAAAAAAACCCAAGCAGAAGAAAAGCATTTGCTTAACATTTCTAATAAATTATGGAGTGGCTAAAATATGGATTATTTCCAATCTGAAGCCTTTAGTGGTGAAGCAAAAAGAAATGCAGTAAAAAACCAGTCATATACAAACATTCTATTCCAGTATCACAGGGAAAACACCACCCACAAAACAGTGGCTTTAACTAACAGAACCCCTCCTTTTTTTTTTTTTTCCCCTCTTAAATTAATGTCTTCTTCATTTTGGGTTTTTGTTTTCATCTAAAAAGAAAGCAAATACAATAGGACGGTTATTGAGAGTGCTAATTAGAAAGCTACATGCATAAAGAATGCTCTACAAATACTGAAAAATGGAAAAAAAAAATTATTCTTCTGCAAGTAAAAATAAAATTACTGTTGTTAAGGAAGAAAACAATTAACACTGGAGGGAGAGGGTGGAGACGAACTCTAACAACATAAACACATCTATCTGGATTACTAAAATCACAAAACTCAATATAAATAATGCTTTTTCAAACTGAATTATGAGAATAACCAAATGGGTGGGGGGAAAAAAAAAATCCGGGATGACGGCACAGATGACGGCAAAGTGTACTCATCCTTCACCTGTAGCCCCATAAACATCAGGAGTGTAGAGGGCACCAGTGGATCTGGAGTGATGTCTGGAAGCTGCAATAACAGGATCATATAAACCCTATCTATTACCACGGGATCAAAGTGCTGCAATAGTTGCGTAGATGAACAAGAGTATCAAAAAGATTCAGCTTTAGCACATGGAACCGAGTATTACACAGAAGGAACAAGCTTCAGAAAAAGTTCTTTGATTATACAGAATATGATTACATATAATTATATGTTTATGTACACTGGACATCTCATGCATAATTTTTTTTTTTAATTTGAAAGATTAAGAGCAGATTAAAAGCAAGAGTGTTGTAAGTTCAAAGAAAAAAAACGCGTACACACAGAGGCACACACACCCACACACAAACAGAATCCTCAGAAACATCTAAAAATTTCCCCTGATACTGGTCTTTCATTGCACTCAACTCAACTCTGCATGTTCAAGTCAGAGCCAGAGCTCATGCACCACACATCACCTGTAAGAAGTGAGTACTGCACGAACTTCCTGTGTTAGCAGCCCACAACCTGTATAAACTTCAGTCCCTGCCTACGTGCAGCTGAGTCAACCTCAGCTAAAACTCACCACTACGGAGATGGAAGTTTGAATTATTCATTTTTAATTAAAGTTTAAAATAATTTATTGCAATTAATATTTCACATTTGTATTGTTTTCTTTAAATAAATAAATAGTGAACGTGAAACATTTATGGCAGTTACTAGACGTCATTAAAATTCTTTAAAATTATGGAAGGTAGGAAGAAAAAAACCCTTAAGGACTTTTGAATAAAACTGAGTACCCTCTTCCTTCTGGTACTTGTCTAAAACTGGTCTTTTAGAGATTCTAAAGAAGTTGGCTCACTATTGTTAATGTTTTCTCTCTTAAACCAAGTGATTTTAAATTCAACGTGCTCTTAAACAATTCATCTTCTACCTTCAGTTAAGTTTGAATTTTAAAGGCATGTAAATGAAAACTTGTTTTGACATCTTGACTTGAATTCAAATGTTCACCAACAGTGACGAACCACAGATATAATTTTATGATTTAATAAATAACTGTAAACTCGAACATTTCATACCTTTTGGACACATCAAGTAGTATCAATAGAAACCAGGAATCGAATAAATCATCCTTTGCTCTGATCACCACAGACAATTTAAGAGTCTGATTTGTTTGTTATAACCCTGACATGGAGCAAGTCACATTTGGGGAAAACGCACCTCTTTTAACCCAAGTGAATTCCAGAATGATCCTAAGCCCTGGAAAGGTCCTGGAAACAACACTGTGTTTTTTCCACGTAAAGTTCTCTACTCCTTACAGAAGATACAGCATTGTATTTTATTTCAAAGTAAACATGCATAAAGTTTTTTAGCTAGGGAATTTTAAGTTGCAACTAATGCTTTGTGGAATACTTGGTTCTTTAGAACGTATGCCTCAGCCTGGAAAAAGAGACAGGCCAGATGGCGAAACACAGGCATCAAGGCTGACAGAGTTTTACATAAAAGCAGTATCAGGATAAAACCTTTCCATCAATAAGCCCTGAAAATTCAAGGTACAATTAAAAGTGCAAACTTCAGGCATATCATGAAAAACAATCCTGCAGCCATGCATGTTTGAAATATGCTGGACACATTAAGGCAGTGAAAGGAAGAACTATATTGGATCACACATACCTCATTCCAAAGCATACTTTCAAGGATATTCTTTGTATCCCTCAAATTGCAAAACCTGTGTGTTGTTGCTTTACTTTTTTAAAAGATGAATGAAGGTAAGACTTCAAGTAGACTCAAAATAACACAATTTCTTAGCTAAAATATGGAAATTGCACTATTGTGATATTTAATATTAACTATATGTAACAGAAAAACAGGCGCTTCCATATGAATGACAAGCCACTTGCTTCTCAGAGTGACTCTTATCTCCCAGTTTATAATCTTATACTGAGACACAAAAATGTAGCATTTGGGTCATTTTATGCCCCAAAGGACTTCGCATTTGTAAGCAAAAATTTCTGTGCTGAGAATTCAATGCAATGCAAATTACATTCCCTTCTCCAACCCTATGTAAAACAGCTACAGACACAGAGCTGATGTTGCCTTATTTCATCTTCCACTTGTACCCCCGAAAACCATGAAATTTACTATTTCTGACAGAATTTAATAGCATCCCCTAAGACACAACTGGTCCAACAAACACTGAGTTACATCTGAAATCATTCCAATTGGAAGTTATTCCTACTAAAAGGAATCCCAGCAATCAGTTATTCCAGGTATAGCTTTTTTACACAACACTGGATTCCTATATGTGCTACTTGGCATCCTCTGTGCATCCCAACAATTCAACCTATTGTATTTGTATAGGTGCTTGTTTTGATATCTGACTACAAAAATTAAGCTCCATCAATGAAAATAACCTGTCCCAATGACCCACCTTACGGCATTAGCTTAATACAGACTTCTTAAGATCACAAGCATTTGACCAAATATAAAATGTGTATCAGATCTCACATGCATGTGACTGAAGTCAACCCATAAGGCAGCAAAACCAGCACAACGAGATCTGGAAAATGCCCTCATTTTTGAAAGAAAAGATATGTGTGCACTACAATTGAGTCTGACAGCTGTGTTTTGGTAAAAGACAAGTTTACTAACGGATTCTGCATAATGTCTATTTTTAATTTAATTTCCCAATTAAGTACCATCTGGACAAATTAGCATTAGTTATTGAAACAGCTTTCATTCAATTAATCTGCACTTTCCCAATAAAACCACGGCTGGCAGGAAGCATATGGCCTTAACAGACCAGCGTAGACTTCCAATGCTAATTAGGAGTACAGTCGGGTGCCTCAGTTAGAGACAGAAACCAGAGATTTGCTATTTTCAGACGATGTTTAACAGCTAGTGTTACAAGGTCCTGAACTGTAATCTATATTTGAACAACAAACGAGGAGGGATACATATTGAAGACTAACTCAAAGATAACACCGAAAAATATCGGACACAATCCTACACACACAGTTTTGTATTACCAATCAATCAACATCCCCCCACCAAACCAAAAACCACCACCCAGTATGTAAAAAGACTTTTATCAAAACCTACTACCAACTTTTGAGGAACCTTGACAAGGATCCATGGACACGAGAAGCTTCCCTAATCCTTCACCAACAAATGCTAAAGGAATTATAAACTACTGTTCCCATGCATTACTGATATTTCGGAAACAGACAAAAGCTTGACAATCATGCAAAAATATTTAAGCCTCAGGCCAATAAGTTGAAATACTAAGTGAAACTAAAGTTTTGCTTACAGCAGCTCCAGAAATGAGGACTGAAGACAGCTATGCATGTGTGAGTTTCAAGTTTTTAATTCCACTTCTTCCCTATGAAACCACAACTGCTATTTCCATTATTTGTTCTATTTTTAAAAATTTGTTCGATTATTGTGTTTTACACAGATTAAAAGTAAACTTCAGAACTGTACGTTGTTCATCGACTCGTATAAGGACTTTGCTACTCGCCACGTTCATATTTAGAAAACGGAAAGAAAGCAGCCTTGGAATTAAGTTCCGCTGTAGTGGAATGGTCCTTTATCCGCACCATCAGATTTACTTGCTGTAAGAGCAAGAAGTTGAAATTCTTACTGTTTTTTCACATAATACGGAGATGACAACACAGCTAAGGAGACATCAAATGAAGCGTATTTTCTTGCAGACCAAAGGCTTCATTGCCTAGGGAGCGAGTCTGGGTAACAGGTGACCCTAGCTGCTGATGCAGGGCAAGGCAGAGGATGACGGGCACCCTACACTCTTTGCCCGAGCCGGGCAGTGAGAAATGGATTATATCCCTGCCCCCAAGCAATGAAAAGAGAAACACATCATTCCAAAAAAACATTCCAAAAGCAGGACTGCCCTTTCAAAAAAAAGCACCTAGATGCTGCGTATCACACCCCTGTCCAAACCTGGTATTTAAGATAAGGCTAACACTAGCAAAGAATTTCTTTCTCAGGTGTGCACCCCATTCACACATTGGTCAATTCGCCATCGAGGCAAGTGGTGAGTGAGCCAAAGGAAGGGAAAATAATGGTGGCTGGCTACAAGCTAAATGAAGGAGGCATGGATTCGTTAGGTGCAAATAACGAAGGGCACAGACAGCCATGCACAACAAGGGGCTCTGAGTACTTACCAAGGGGTGGAAAAGAGCGGACAGGGCTTGTGTCCCTGCTACTTTCACGGCTGGCCTCCCGACTGCACCCCTGACTTACACTAGGCCGAGGAATGCGGCTGCCTCGTGCTAGTATGATTCAGGGTACAGACAAACAGCAGCACAGAAGGGGGAAGACATAAGAAAAGTTGCAGTTTTAATGCAGTTCTGTTTTGCAGTTAAGACCAAAGATGTATTTCTAAAAGAAGACACTGACAATTACGTCGTATTCTAAGTCAGAACTGTTTCCACACACGTTCTTGATCATGCAGGATTACACTTAAGTGTAGCCAGGTGAATGAAATTATTTCTTCGCACAGCTAAAAAAGGGGAGTTCCTGACTCTTTACGTAACCGTTGCAAAACCTCTTGAAAAGGACGGAGAGGAAACAAGCAACAGAAAATACGAACACATTACTGATTCAGAATTTATGCTCAAGTTAATCAACAGAAATGCAAATGACCACACCTTTCTAAAGAAAGAAAATATGAAGTTAATGCAGCTAAGGTAAAAATCAAAGTACAACACAAAACAGCAGCAACGCCACTAAAATCAACTGATACTTTTCAGTACTACTGCTTGCAATCAAGTGCAATCAAGCTATACCATGAGGTTTAAGAAATAAGACATACATTTCTGTGTCACAGAAGTATACACATGCACCCACACATATGTAATACAGAAAATCTTTTCAAAAGGGTATCACACTTTCATTCAATGGATGTGGGTGTTTAGGGGGTGGGGATAAGAAGTAAAGAGAACTGGAAGAGAGAAGGAAGACAGGGAGGTGAGGAAAACAACTACAGCGTTCCGATAGCAAAAAAAATCAAGGTTCAACTTAAAATTTAAACTGCCTTTCATATCAAAGACTACCCTCAGAAAGCAGGCATCTTTCAGATCTGTATTGATATGTATTCTAATTTTATCATCCACCTAAACACAAGCTATAGACATCCAGCATTTGAAGTAAGAGAACTATAAAGAAACCAAGAGTTATTCAGTGATTCTTACCTACTGACAATCTAGAAGGACTAGCTTCTCTACTGCATCCCTGACTTCGTGGGATTTTGCTTCGCTTTTGTGCAGTTGCAGGATTTACTAACACTCTCTGAACTCCTGTGTTCATCGTGGAAAGTGTGGTTGTTGTCAAAACTCTTCCAGGAGACCCAGATCTACTGCCAGCTGAAGGCAAAATGAGTAAACATAAGTAACAGCATAGAAGATAAACCACCATGGTTAAAAAGAAATAAAATGGTTAAATAGAAAACCCTGGTTCAAGTTCTTAACACTACATAAAAGGCAGATAAAATTACCAATGCAAGGAAGCACTTGGCATGGTATTTAGCACTAGATACACTCAAGAAACCATAAACAGCATTTCTAGTCTTCATCAAGAGTTCTAATGTCCCCAAGATGAACATTGGTGTGTTCATCTTTTAAACTACATGGCCTCACTAATCAGATTTTCTAATTTAAAAAAAAAAAAAAAAGGAATTGTTAGAAAGATAAAAGGAGAAACTTTAAACTAGTTATTTCATAATTATTCCAGGTCTTCCAGTGCAACCAATGTTGTAATAAACCAACATAACTTTTCTAACATTTAAACCCTTCTCCCTTGCTTTTAAAAGCATGGGGTCTCCAAGCACTGCTCTGAGAAGTTAAATAATAAATTGTCAATGAAGACAATTAAAATATTCATGCTTACTTCTGTGGAGGTTACCCCACAAATTTGAGGAAAATATTCAGTTTTAAGCAAGCTAAAAAATTGATCAAAACATGTTTGTCTCATTTTTATTACTCAAAACTGTACATTACGTATCATAGAATCACAGAATGGTTTGGGTTGGAAGGGACCTTAAAGATCATCTAGTTCCAACCCCCCTGCCATGGGCAGGGACACCTTCCACTAGACCAGGTTGCACAAAGCCTCATCAAGCCTGGCCTTGAAGTGCTATAAATGTTCATTTCAACACAATCTAGTCACTATAAGAAACTGACCACTCATCCCTAATATTGCTATTTCAGCTACAGAAAATTTAAGTTCTAAGCCCTAACAAAGAATCCACTCTAATTATAAACAATTTATAGCACCAGTTGATACAGTTTCCAGCTGCAGAATTCAAGAAGTCTGATCAAATACAAAGGAAAACATAATTTAAAAAAAAGAGTTAATGACATACAGATACAAACCTTCCATTTATCTTTTAAAAATAATCAGGTAACTGTAAACCACAGCTACACGATCAGATCTATAGTCTTAACATGCAACATCTCAAGTGAGTTTCATGGATTACTTCTTATGAGGCACATTTAAAAAAGAAAAAAGCTGATTAAAGCTTTGACTATATGGGAAAAGAAACAAAATCCCAAACAAAATAAAACATATGCTGGGTGGAAGGAGAAAAACCAAAACAATGCACCATGCATATACTTTCAGATTCATTGTTTGAATTCAAACTTGAAATGATTATTTAGCAAAATCCCTTTTCCCAACTACGGACCTATTCAGCAGAAATGATAAATAAAGTATTACACAGCCTGGAAAACACAAGCATAACTTCTACAGCAAAAGAAAGAACAGGCAAATCTATAAAACTGCTGTGGTCTGCAAAAATTAGGGGTTTGGTAGTCTTCATGCCAAGGCATTTCAACTTACACCTGATATTACTATGTTGTCTTCTTAGCCCCCAATATTTTATATCTCTTTAAAGCAATGAAAATAGCGTAAAAGCTTTCACTGAGCCAGAGACTTTCAAAGACTTTCTTCAATATGTCAGAAACCTGAAAAGGTGATTCTTCTCAGAATATACAGAGGAAATGCAACTTCTCATTCGAATACTTGATTTATCTTTCCATTGCCTGAGCAGCAGTGTAGCGTAAAAAAAACCAAACGAAGCTTAATATCCTAATCACAGCATTGGCATACTGTTGTCTGTACTCCCACTAGTAGTAGATCTAAGCAAACTGAACGATGACAGAAGGATTACTAAAAACGTATTGAAAAATTACAAAACCCTCCCATATCTATTGCCTTCTAAATAAGGATTACATCCAATTAGGTAAGTGCGGCATATGGAAAAAAGCAAGCCAGAATTTCTGCTGAATAGGGTCCTTAAATGAGGTATGTCAAACAGGTGATCAAACAATGACGTATACACAAATTCTGTAGGCTCTTACCACCAATGGGGTTAGCAGACTGTGATCCTGAACAAGTGTAAAGGCAGGATTAGGGTAGGGGTTTATAATCCATGAAGAGGGAGGGAGCAGAGCAGATTAAAAAATGGATGGCAAATGGAAATAAGAAAGCTTTAGTCATTTCACAGAGGAAAAAAAGCCACAAGGGGGTAATGCTAAAGCAGTGCTTTTAAGTAGCTTCCACAATTGAAGAACTAAACTCAGATGCCTTATGCACAAAGCAGATGAAGCAAAGCTGCACAAGCAAGTTACAATTCTTCAGCTTTCTAATCAACAACTGGATAATACTGAAGAATTAAATTTCAATTAGACATGAAACTGTAGCCTCCATATTACTTTAAGAGAATATTATATTGCCAAGAAAGTTCAAGTTCAACAGCTGAACAAAAATTACACACAAGGCCAAAACATGTTTGGGTTTTTTGGAGACAGACAATAAAGGAACTGAGCTGCAGGTGTGGTGGATGACAAAAAAAAAACCAACTTACAATGGCACAACTGAAAAGACTTGCATAGAATTTCAGGTTTTCCACTTTGAAATTAATCAAAAGTATAAAAGTAAGAATTTGGTTCCATCCAGAAATTTAATTCTTTTCCTCTGAATGAAGACTGCCATGCAATTTTAGCACACCTTGCTGAAATACCCGACAATCAAACAGGAAGGGAGAGGAAAGAAATGGAACGAATTTTTTCCATAGGTAAGTATAAAATAATGAGCTATAGCTTGTGGATGCATTTATTTTGTTACAATTTAAAAATAGAAGAGGAAGAGTAAAGGGCTTCTAAAACCCTAAAAAAGTATCTTTTGTAAATGCATTCAAATTTGCAAGTCTTTCATAAAATGATATTTGAACAAAAGTGCTAAGTAGTTGTAAACCTAAATTTACAAAAGCATCTGTGTCAGTGCTTTTTTTTTTAAAAAAAAAAAATGTTAAAGCTTAAATCTAATATGAAGTTGTTTTCCCACTGTAAGCTGGGAAACTAAAACGATGCCCTGTATGGAAACATCAAGCATCTCGCTCCCAACAGCGCTGTGAAAATTTTCGGTCACATAAAGAAGCATCATCCAAATAGCTGGCATACAGTGCCTGACAATTACCCTCTGCCTGCCCATTTGTATTTGCCCTGTTTATGGTCCTTAAAACATCTCAGAATTCTTGTTCTCCCCCACTGACGGGTTATAAGGAGCTCTCTGAAGCCAGAACTAGCAACAAGAGGCTGTGAAGATGCATTCACGCCTCTCATTTTCACACATCACATGTAAACAAGCCTAGGTATTATGGTATCAATTCAACTTATCCCTGTGCACAAATGAATTCTCTTGGGAGAGTTTGTCATTATTGGTAAAAGGAAACTGAAAAAGCTTCAGTTCGTTTCCCTAAATATAGTCAGTTTAATTAATATTATATGACAATGATCATCACAAAAGTCTTATATTGCTACCTAAATTTAACCACTACCATATTTTAATCGAACACCTTAACTTTTTAAGAATTTACCCAATCTATTCAAAGCAGGAAGGTGTTTTCAAAAAGCTTATTTCAGAACTTCCCTGACACTAATGAAGAGTGTTACAGATACTGCTCACAACTTTTCATAAAGGAAAAAGTGATTTGAGGGGTCTGTTAACTCCTCTCCCCTTAAACTATTAATCCGAATATTCTTTGCTTATGCTACAGGGTAGTTATCTTAACAATGAAAACGTAGAACAAGTTTTGCACCACCTCTGTCACAGCCAATAGCCAGGTTTTATTCTCAAGATCTCATCCCACAAACACTTGGGGCATTACAGCACTGTCAAAGCAAAACAATTACTTAAGAGAATTTCTGTTATTGGATCAGATTTGATCCATCTGTATTTGTTGGAAAATGAAGTGATGCAAAACTGAATGGGAGGTACTCTAACAGGAAAAAACCCTCTCAATATCCTTTTACCTGCTTTTTTAACCTCTAGTTTGATCCACCTGTATTTGTTGAAAAATGAAGTGATGCAAACTTTAATGGGAGGTACTCTAACAGGAGAAAACCCTCTCAATACCCTTTTACCTGCTTTTTTAACCTCTAAAGTCATTCTATTTAAGATAAATGCAGCCATTGCTATGAAGACAGATGTTTCTGCCACTAAGCACAGAATTAAGGGTTTTTATTAAAAGCAAGTGGATATGGTTACTGATAGCAAGATAATTGTACTGGAAAATTCAAAACCTGTATTATTTATTGGGTTTATAACATTAGACCTCACAAACTACAGGACCGGTTAGTTTAATTTACTGTTAATTTGTCTTCATGAATTTGATTGCGTTTCACTTAATTAGACAAAGATGAGAATCCGAAAACACTACAGAGCTTAGTCAGATGATGTCTGTTGCAGATGTGTGAATAAACCGCCATAGGTCAGCCAGTGTTAAACAATGTGAGGTAATCAGGTCTTTTTAATTAATGACAGAGTGCTTAGCTATATCGGAAATTTTGCATTTCCTTTTGTTTCTAAACACACACAGAAAATTACTGTGGATTAGCTGATATCCAGTAAATTGCTTGTTTTAACCCTTTGAGTCAATGTAAGTTAAGCAACTGATTATGAAGTTAGTGTTTGTTATTTTAATTCCAAAGAAGAGTTAAGTAAAGGTAACAGCTGTAATACAGAAAAAAGGAGTATATATCCAAGAGCTAGAGGAGTGCCTAGCTTAAAATGAACATAGGTATTTCTGGCTGAAAAATAAGACGCTTTGAAAAAGGAAAAATTAGGTTTTGCAGGTAACACCATGGCCACCGTTCAGCCTACCCATTCGTCTGTATTACTTGTCCACGTGTCGTATGTAAGTGACACAGAGTTTACCAGTGTCTCGTCTTGGGGAGGTCAGAAAGGGGGGGAAAAGAATGTTGAGAAGTTATACTTGAAGACAGAACTTAAGTGTAGACTTAACTTCCTGTAACATTATCTAATTTAATTGGCAAACTAAGACCTAACCTAGTATTTTGTCCAGAGAAAAACAACATGAATTAGAAAAGCATGCAAATACCACTGACCCAAAACACTGAAAAAAATACCTTCATTTTTGTCTGGCGATGATGAACCTAAGGCACAGAACAACAACTCAGTATGTAGCTTTTTTTAAAAAATTAACTTTGACTGTAGCCATTGGTCAATAAACATACGCTTAAGCATTTGGCCTCTTTATCAGGTATGACTGACAAACAGAAAATACATACGCTGAGACTGTGACACCACTTTGGTTCTACTCCGTCCTCTGGAATCTGTTTTAGAATTTCCAATACCAACAGAAGGCGTTGAAAGCTTTGTTCGTACACGACCTATAAAAGAAAAATGGTATTAAACCAGCTTTTCACAGGAATGTAGAAAACAAAGCAACAGTAACATTTAATAATATTTTCTTAAGTTTCTGTAGATAAAAAAGAAGCATAATGTAACTCAACCGGTGAAAATTCACTTGGGATAATTAGTAGAAATTTGAACACTGAGAGACTTAACAGTTGAGGAATGGAAATACTTCTCCTCTGATGCTGCAGGTTTCAGTAAACAATTTACACCTTATCAATTAAACACCCTGAACTAGCTCGCCAGTTCTTGCTTCTGACATAAACAGGTTGATTGTATAAAAACGCAGGTTTGTTAAATGTAAGGGGGGGCAATGCGCATGCTAATGCTGCTGTATCAGGTACAGTCCTCTCATGATTACTTGTGCTTGTAATTCTACTTTTCCTGCAGTAAAATGACAAAAATTACATTGACTGTTTTTTGAATAGGGTTCTGAGGTTTCTTCCTAACTTCGCTCCTCATTTCCTGTTACTACAGATTCTACTGTTTTCCTGGTCACAGTCATACAGGTTTCCACAGGATCTCCCAAGCCTTTTGCAGCATTTTGCAAAGACCAAGTACACTTACGTACTTTGCAGTGACAACGTGATACAAGGAAATACTACTCTCCTAAACAGAGAGAACAACTAAGGAAGAGACAGATTAAACTGAGTATCTACAACTAAAACAACAACTTCACTTCTCTCCAGAACGCCAAACCATCTTTTGGGGTTTGGGGTTATCAGAAAGGTTCCTCAGAGCATCCAATGAAAGTACAAAAGAAAGGAAGACCCCAGTTGGATGAATTATAGGTAACTGAAAGATTATTCATGAAAGAAAATAAGAGTTGTGTACTGCATTTCCTAAACCAACCTCTTGAACAGCAGTAAAATGAAGTAAAAACCAAAACCATGCTAACCATAATTCTTGAAAGTTGCAAGAACAAAACCCAAATAGCTTGTACAGGGTGGATCTAGCTCAACAATTAATCCACTTTTAAAACCAGCATAATTAAGATATTTTTTTAGACAGGTAGCCAATATTTGCCCACGAATAATTAGGTGCACAGACTGTTATTTAGTTCTAGCCTCTTTAGGCTTTCCACAGCAGAATTTGTAGACCAACCAAGTTAATATTATTCATCCAAGTAGAGGGAATAGCCATAGATGAGAGTCTATAAGAAGAGAATCAGGATAAATGAAGTTATTCACTAAACTATTAGAAAACAATACGCTAGCAAGACCAGTTAGATTAACTAGTCCCAACTCTACTAGTTATCCCCGTGCAATGCCAATGTTTTCCCCCAAGTACTGCAAAATTGCAAGGCATGTAACTGTGCTCAGAATCTGGCCCAAAAAGTTGGGAATACAGAGTGCCACTATTTGGATACTGTGTTGAATTATTGCTTGGAACTAGATTCAATTTTATCAAAGTAAAAAACACATTTGTGTTTGTAAGGCAAATGAAGTGTTACCGCACTTGGAGTCTCAACATCCATTCACTAATGACAGGTTTAAATGTTAACAACATATTGAAAATGAATTCCCAAGTCCCAGAGATGACTAATAGTAGCACCTGCTTCCCAGAGCATGAACACATCGGATGAAATATTCTGTGACAAGATCCGCTTTAAAAAACAAATGCAAAATTATAAAGCTCCTACGTTTTCACATGAAAAATGTTAAGCAATGACACGTCTACTGCAGATGAGTACTTGAGAATTAAAATAAAAGCAAAAGAATTTTAAAAATATTACATGACAACCAAGTATTAGATGCATAAGCTATCTGTAGTTATGAACCTCCACAAAGCCCCAGAAAGACCACATTCTACTTTCAAAGCTTCATTTGTAATCAACAAAAATACGAAGCTGAAAATATCAGTTGTTCTAACAAAATATTTTCTTACCATCTTCAGAAGCTGTTCCTAAACAGAAAAAATAATAAAATACATGATATTCCAAACAATACTGTGTCTCTGCAATTCCTTTTTGAGATTAATCTTACGAATAGAATCTTGACAAATTTTATCAAGAGGTCTAAAGCTTTTGTGTTCTAACTCCATTATTGAACTAAAGCAAAACTATCAAGCAACATCCACAGTACACTGTTAGTGATTTCCAAGAACACAATATATAGCACTGACTTCCAAATTTGTTACAAAACCACCACCACAAAAAAAATCTGAGATAAGTCAACAAAAGCACATGTACAGATCAAAACAGACAATACAAATATTTTGTTGCTACTTCTCCTGAAAATATAAAACATACTATTACAAGTTATTTCAGAGAAAAGCACAAGGACAATGTTTCCCACACTGGACAGCGGTAATTTGATAGGAACTGCCAGCAAGGAGGCTTTCCCTGAATTTAATCCATGATTACTCTGAAGATCTACATGCACAAGATCAGGTTTTGCTCAGAGAAGTGGAAGTAATATGAGCTTGCTGAAACCAGATCACACTTGACAAGTATGCCAAGCTTAACAAGGCTTGATTATGACAAAATGAGAATCAGACAAGTCTTTTTACTGACATCAATACCTAGGAATTGAGGGGAAGCTATCTAAACACCAGTCCTTCCTCTCCCTAAATTTCTTTCAAATAAATCTGATTATGGAATAAAATATGTATTAGCAGTGATAAAAATGTTAAATGCCTCAAAAAAGCCAAAGGGATTTCCATTTTTCGTTTCACACTCTGCCATTTCTCCCTTGCAAGAGAACTGCAATGATCAGAACATCTGCTAGTGTCTTTGGCTAGCCTGAACTTCACTTTCTCAGCAAATCTGTCTACGGCTTTCTCATATTCTACTATCTTAAAGGAACTGTTTCTAAAGACTCCCTCTAAAAAAGTAATTCAGTGTAAGTTTCAATGCTTCTTCACAAAACTCAGTTACAGTAACATGTATCTAGGACTGCATCAAAGTTTTCCAGATCTAATTTGCCAATCTGTATTAAAAAAAAAGCCAAACCCTAAACTACCCCCACAAACCCAACATTCCTCCAGAGCTGGATCTTGGAAGGCAGGTTCTATGCAACATCTAAGCCAGGGTAACAGCTGCTCCTAAAACGGGTGGTTCTGCTTCTCCTTCCTCTCCAGCCTCGTACTACCACCTGGTTTGGATGTTACAGGCTCACCATCAGCTCCAAAAGATATATAACAGAATATTATTCACTTTTGGTTTATGAAATAATTTTTTTGGACTTTGTTCACCTACAGTGATTGACCATGGCATATTACAAGGCACTAATGAAGGAAGTGGTAAAAAGATGTGGACAAGATGTGTAGGAAAAGGAAAAAACAATTAGTTCCTCCTGGTGGCCACTGGATCAGAGCAGCTGTATCATACAAGTACAGGTGGAGGGCTACGCTGTGTTCATTCTGTCTCACACATCATCCCTACAGATATCCTCTAGAAAAAACCACCCTATCATTCTGACCAACTGTGTAGCTCTTCCTCCACTATTTTTAAACAGATGTGTGGGACACCATTAGTTGCGACCACTGCTCTGAACAAAAGAAAAACCCTGTACCCATGGCCACGTCACCATTTACTGCTGGTGACAACGTGCAAAAGCTCAAGATTAAGTGTTTAGCACAGACAGTTATAGATTAATTCTTATAGGGAACATAAGGATATCTCATATGGAAATAAGCAAGACAGACACTACCACCTTGTACAAACCCTCCTCATTTTATTACAGTAGGCTTGCCATCTGCAGTACTCAAAAATGGCTCAAATTCTTCCAAAAGTATTTCTCATGAAACTGACTGTCCGTGTTTTAAAACAATTCAGGATTCTGGGTTTCAGAGATTTAACTTCTTGCTGTTTTCATTTCTGTGAAAAACATGGCCTGCTTTGCTTCCAGTAAACTACTTGTTCTTCGAAATAGGTACTGTTAACAGGCACATCTGGCAAGAATTATTGAGTAGGTCGCAAACATAACTGACTTGTGTGTTCCTCAGCAGTAAATCAGGACTAGAATTATGAAGCATCAGGCTGGGACTCTGTCACTATCATATGGGAAGCATTACTTACACACACCTGAAACAGACAACTCCTGTGAGGAGCCTGATCCTCAACTGCTTTGCAGTTAGGAGAAAACAACTCCCTCCATGTGTTTAATACAGTGAATTAAGAAAAAGTAAGTACTAAAACTTAGCTGGAATACTGTTTTACCAGGTAGATTTTCTAACAAACTGTTCTTTAATATAATTACACTGTATTTCAGGATTTACAGGCACCTAAAGTTACATAGCTAGACTAGATTTTGACAGAGTACTTTTGAAAGAGGATTTTAGTGGTGGTTTTGGTGGTTTCTTTTAAATCCTTAGTAATGTGGTTAAGCATCTTCTCCTCTCCCATTGCTGTTCTGCTGAGAAGTCAAAAAATTGGACTTTACAGGTAAAACTGTGAAGTACATGGAACTAGAGCCAGTTAAAAAAAAAGCATGTATTGATTACAGAATTGCTCTGTAAGTAACAGAGCCTTTTTAAAAACAGGACTAACATCCAGTTTCTGATAGTTTGTTGCTGATACAGACCAATCAAAAACACTAACAAATACAGCAATAACACAAGACATATTAAGACATCAAGATTACAGAGGGGTTAACAAAAACAGCATAGTATTTTGTTAATGAAAAGACAAATATATTAAGCATCAACAATTTTACATAAAAGATATTTTACTAAGTATTTAATAGAATTAGAGGACAGACTAAACAATTTCTTACCATCCATCTTGTCAGAAGTATCCTCTTTGTAGAAAAAGCAGGCAAAGAAACATGGAAAACTTAGTGTGTTAGAATAAAGGTGTTCACAGCAGAGTCATAAAACATTAATTAAGGAAAACACATTAATATTAAATACAGCAGACATGTTTATCTAATTTGTGCACATATAAGCTATCTTAAGTAAAGTTGGTTTCTCTGAGTCCAAGGTACAAAATTACAGAACAGGGTACAAGTACCCTGTGCAGGGATGCTGATTCTCTCCCTGTTACCCAGATTTGAGCAAACCCTTACGGTAAAATATTTATAAACAGTTTTATGCGTGGTGTCAGCAGTCACTGAAGCATCAGTACATACTTATACCGTGACTAAACCACAGTATTTCAATTTCTTAGGAAATTTGCTGCTGAGCATGAAGCCCCATCTGGGGTAAGGGACAGGAGGGAAAGAAACATCACAATAGACAGAGGACAAATGGGAGCAAGTTCCACTGGTTTAAAAGCATTAAACATTTACCAGTTCAGCTGGAAGGTAGTGCATACATATTCTGACAGTAACAATCAAAATTAAAATATTTAGTATGACACAAATAATTACAGCTCAAGTTGCCTCAAAAAGGACATTAATATTTAATGATACCAAAGATAGTCAACATTTAGAACTAACTAAAGTAGAGAATGCCCTCATGCTTCTAGAACAGTCTCAAAAAAACCCCACTAACATAAATAAGCAAGCAAGAGTTCTACTAATAATATAAAGGGAAGAGATGGGTGGAGACAATCACAGATTACTATGCTCATGAACTTGTGGTCCTCTGAGACTCCAAATTTGGCAGCTGTTTAAGCAAAAGGCGAGTATTTCTCGAAGTAAGAGTGAAAATGAGAACACATTCAATCTCTGGAGAAGACAGTGTTATTTGTTTTGGTACTGACACCTGAGAAGATGTGGAAAGCATTATGGAAATACAGTAACATTTTCTAGGCATCTTAGTACCATGGTCATCACCTTGGCAATTCTGTCACTTAAGCTGCCGTATTTGTATTCAGTATAAAACACCCCCTTAAAAGGAACAGGGGGCTAGGTCTACAAATTAGCCCACGTTCTGAAACACGGCACTTGCTCACATGCACAGCCCATTCGTTTTACGGTTATCTTCTGAAAATTAAGCACAAACAGTATTTTGAGGTGGATTCCATGGTTAATCCATAGCCAAACACACAACCATCACACCCGCTACCCAGCTGAGAGGGAGCAGGTGTGTGTCATGTAAACTACCCTACCACTATTAAAAACTGTTAGGACAATGAGCCAAGATAAATCAAGCAGTGCTGCTTTTGCGTGGCTGAAAACAAACCCTGGCCTCCATGACTATTATAGCCCTTATACTGTCTGTAATAGGATTTGACTTTTCATTGCTAGTATGTCATCGTTTTGCCATTTCAAACCACCATGGTATTCTTCTCCACGAGTGATTGCGTCTGCTAACAAGGCAAAGCTTTCCAGCTACTCAAATCCTTCAAAAGAACATGACCTGGACATACTCCCTATGTATTCCTCTCCCCCATCCCCACTCACCAAATCTATAAACTACACAGAGAATAAGCTATTTCTTTATTTCGGTTATTTTCCTGTAAAAACACTACTACTTACTTGCCTGAAAACCTCTGTGCCCTTCTCAACCCCTGCTCACAAAATTCAGGGCATGAACCACGTATCGCCTAAAATGTTCTGAAAGCAAACCAATGCTCCAATCTAATTTTCTGTGGAACTCCCAAGACCACAGCGGTCCCTTCCTTTCAGCATCAGGAAGACGACAGATTAACAGAGAGATTTCTCTCCTTGTTTTCCATCTGACTTTTTTTGTGTGTCATGCTCTGCGTCACTTCACTTCCCTCAGCAGCCAAACTCCAGCCTTGTCCGAGATGCAGAATACCTCCAAAACAGACCGGCAATATTCTGATCTTGGAGAATAATCACCCCACCCATTTCAGACTCTTAGGCATTAAGCTAGGAGGCACAGAGAATTCCCCAAGCGATAACCACGAACTTATCTCCTCCACCAAGCGAACTGAGCAGCCCTAACTGGTGCCTGCCTCCTACCCGGTAGGACTCAGCTCCTGTGGGCACTAGAGGGAGCTCGCACCCCAAATCCCGAGTTCAGAGAGCCAGTACTGTCAGGCAGCATTGCTCATACTCGCACACTTCAATCCTAAAATCAGCGGTGTTCAGACCATTTCAAGTGGGCCCTGATGACAAACGAATCAACTCATTTTAAAGCGGTTTTAACTTAAATTTGGATTTCAAAACGCACAACCAAATCTTTGAAAACCACAGCCTAAATGTACCCTAACATCTCCTCAAACACAAGGTAAATCAGAAGTAGTGCGTAGTTTCTCTGCCTCTCTTGTGATCACATTCAGCAATACCGACATTAGGACATGCCTCCTTGGTCATCTAGCTGGCACATCAGCCAAGAAACAAAAACCAACAGTTCTGTGAACACTGAACCTCACGTCCCCTGTTCCTACTATGGATAACCTAAAAAAGAACAAAGCCATGCCTACATTCCCTTACCCTCCACACTTCGTGAAGGTTCTAGCATCTACCACCACCATCAAACACTTTTCTGCACCCTTCTCATCTGCAGCACTTTCAATGACTAACAGGAAGTGCCCCTATCAAGACTGTCACCTAGGTAACAACATATAGTTCCATCAACATGCTCAAGAAGAGATCTATGAAACCCATCTTGTAATATTGTTGCATGAAACACTTCTGTATTACTTGAAGAAGCCACCACTCACTGCCTGGATGTCCCTTTAGCACTGCTGTAAAATATGCAGCTGAAGAGCTGAGAAAAAAAGGAAAAATCAAGAGTCCTAACACTTATTCCCCTATTATTTCTAGAAAGAAAAGCCATGATCACGATCTGCTGTGAGGTACCACTCCCTCCAATACTTAATATTAATTCCAGATTAACACAATTAGAGAGCATAGTATGGACACGTTCTTTGCATCGACCTTCTTCCAGTCAAGAAAAATGAAACCACTTAGCAAAGCTGAAATCAAGAATCACTTATTCCCCTATTATTTCTAGAAAGAAAAGCCATGATCACGATCTGCTGTGAAGTGAAGGTACCACTCCCTCCAATACTTAATATTAATTCCAGATTAACACAATTAGAGAGCATAGTATGGACACGTTCTTTGCATCGACATTCTTCCAGTCAAGAAAAATGAAACCACTTAGCAAAGCTGGTAACTTCCTTCAGAACACCTGCTCTTCTGCCCTACTCCAATCCTACCCACAATTGCGACAATTTTTCAAATATGGAAGTACTTTCCTGTATCTTTTTGATCAAAAACTTAAAAAAAATATCTCTCTCTCAGCACAGTGAAGATGTTTCCCTTACCTAGCGAAGCGTAAGATCCCGGGGGCAGACCAGCCGCTGACAAGCGCCCGGCTCCAGCTGTCTGCCCAGCAGCGTGGCGGGCCTTCGCACCTGCGGCAGCGTTAACATCGATGTCGCTGCGAGACCGCTGCAGGGTTCCCGGGCTTGGAACACACTTGCTGCTGCCTGAAACTAGCAACAACAAAATGAAAATTAGGAAATAAGCTGCTAACGAGTACCGTTAATTATATTAGAAAGGTTAACATTTTCTACTACTGCAGCAGACCTGCAAAAAGTACAGAAACTATGCAATATAGTGCAAGTCATGTTAATATTAAACGAAGTATTATTGAGGTTAAGAAGCAAATCAGACCTGGTGCTGTCTTGAAATTTAGATAAAACACCGTTTATTTTACAGTAGTATTTATCTTCATTAAATACTATATGCTCCCACCCTAGTACAAATTACATAATTCTGAACATCTACGTGTACTGAATACTTCACAAACGTAAGGAAATTCACAGCATCCCTTAAGGTACTGAGGGAAGATAATATTCCCACACTTCAGCTACAATAAAGCCACAGGCAGGCTGAACACTTAACCTGACTTGGGCCTGATCTTCTGTAAAAGTATTTTTATATTCAACTCCTGTTATGTACTGAGTATTAACTATTTGCTTCAGTTAGTTTTAACCATTTGGTTATGTCTTCAAAACCTGACTCCCTCCTAACAGTTTCAGCATCCAGAAAAAAAGCACTCTCAATTACTGGCAATTTGTAAAAAGGGGTTCAAGGATTTACTCCGCAAGAGTTAAAGACATCATGTGAAAACAGAACAAAGATACTCAATTCTGAAAGCTCAAGACAAAATTAAACTCTCTGAATTACAAGCCTGTGGGTTTGTTTTTTGTTTTGTGTGGGTTTTGCTTGTATGGTGTTATTTTGTTTGTTTGGGTTTGGTGTTTGTTGGGTGTTTGTTGGTTTTTTTTTCCCCCAATAAAGAGCAGCAGTTACGTGGGAAATACATGAAAGGTGCAAGTCCTTCATTTCCAACTGTCCTTGTCTAACAATCACAAATGGACCATAATGCTTGGTTCCTTTAAGAGTGACTGCTCCATGACAAAACTCCTAGAGAGATGATCAGTTCACAGTACCAATACACAGCAAATTATGTCTTATACTTGCAACAACTGAAAACACATAGAAGGTAAACTTTAGGTTTGTGTCACTATACACTGTGCCTGGAGCTAAGATTGCCTCATACTCGCCTGAGTACTATTATTCAACCTGAAAACGGCGTAAATACTTAAGACAGTAGAATTTTAAGCTGCATTTAAAACTTTTGATTCAAAAAACATAAAGCACAATTACTGTGTACTGCACTAGATTGCAATCACCTTACCTCTGCCTGCAAAGCTTGCTGGGCTGGCTGCAGACCATTTAGAAGATAGAGGCCGACTGAAAATAAAAGAAGTCAATAAACCCAGTAAGTCGCATGTATCAGACTCAAAAGGCAACAATAACAGAGAGGGTGAAAAAAAAATCTTTTATTCTTTGCTCCCCTTCAACCCTATTTTAGATAAACACATTAAATACAGAATCACAAGGAAAACACAATCATCTTATCTTCTATATTGTAAAATTCCATCTTCATCACAAAGCATTAACCTTTTGGTTACCAACAGGCACACTTCACTAACACAAAGTCCAGGCATTCCAGGCTAAGTCACTAAAACATTTAAGGTGGTCAGTACAAGGTTTTAACCACAGGGCTGTTTGTTGGGTTTAGTTAGGAAAGAGCTACCTTTCTTTATCGTGGCTGTTATGAAGTTGTGTTCTTGGATGTTGAGAGAAGTACTGATAACGTTTTAGCTGGTGTTGGGGAATGTTTGTACTAGATTAAGTTTTTTCGTTTCTGATATTGTAATTAAGTTTCTAGTTTTCATTTTCTTGGTACAGGCAGTGCAGGGGACACACAGCTCAGGCAGCTGACCCCAACTGACCAATGAAGTATTTCATTCCATAGTATGTCATGCTCAGGGCAGAGGCAAGGAGGAGGTCTGGGAGCCACTACTCTCTCCCTTACTCCCTTCTCTCTTGTTCGCCCCCGTACACTTGCTAATCCTCACCCTGACTCCTGCATTAGCTGCCTCGCTAACTCCTGTGCTGGCCCATTTGTGAGGGAGTTGGTGGGTTTGTTCAGTTTTCCCGGTCGTGCTATCACTGACAGGGTTTGTTCAGAATCTGCTGCGGCAGCGCTCAGGCTTTCTGGGTCTGACTCTCACTACTCAGCACCTGGTTGTGCATTAGAATTGATCAGTGGGTGGTGAGAAACTGTATCATATTGCATTATATGTTTTATTTTCTATTATTTTTATTATTAGCAGTACTTGTATATATTAATGTAGATTTAATTAGTAAATAGTTCCTATCTCAATTTTACGAGCTTCCTTATTTCTTTCCTCCAATTCTCCCCCTCCACTGGAGGAGGGGAGGGGCCTTTGGGAGAGCGGCTTCGT